TGACAGCTGAAATCGAATGGAAGGCTATTCCTGAGGAGATATTTGCTATGGGCTATAATGCAACCACTGGAGAGGCCGAAGTGCTAGTGAGTTGGAAGGGTCTTCCACCTGAGGAAGCTACCTGGGAAACAATGAAGGACCTTGCACAACAGTTTCCTGACTTCCACCTTAGGGACAAGGTGGATCCGAACGGGGGCGAAGTTGTTAGACCCCCAATTACTAGGACTTATTCTAGAAGGGGCAATAGGGGAATTGTACTTGAGAAGGGAGAGAATGATTGTAATGGTTAAGAGAGAGAAAGTGCGCTTGAGATGTAAGAAAGTAAGAAAGGAAGGTTGGGGATTGGGTAAATATATTCCCCTAGTGAGTTGGAGAGGGCAGCTTTGATTTCAGTGTAGAAAGGATAGTGAGGAGAGCGACCCACCCTCTCGAACTGGTGGGGTATCTTTGTATTGCCTACGGGCTCAATTCAGTAAATTCCAAGAAGAATTGTGAGGAGTTACCTCACAGATGCCAACTGGGAGTTCCGTCTGTAATCCTTTGGCTTGTGGGGATATCTCATCTCTATTTGTGTGATTTCTCTTCATTAATATTGTTGGATTTATTAATATTTGTGTAAATATTAGGTGTTAATATTAGTTGTCAATATTTAGTCTTTATTGTTGATATTCAGTCTTTATGGTGTTTATTACTTTCCTTGTTTGTAGTAGGTCATTCTCCTATATAAGAAGACCTAAGTTACATATTTGAATCAAGGAGTATATTTTTTACTCTCTCAAATTAACATGGTATCAGAGCTAAGTTACATGATGAAGGTACCTTTAGTAATAAAATAACTCAGGGTCTTAGTAGTATTAGTTCTCTTCCTGTTAGGGAACAAATTATGCTTTGGCATCGTAGACTARGACATCCCAGTTTTTTCTATTTAAAATATCTGTTTCCAAAGTTATTTAAGGGAATTGATTGTTYATCTTTTAATTGTGAAAGTTGTTTTTCGCAAAAAATCATCGCTCCACATATTTTCCAAAACCTTATAAAGCTTYCAAACCATTTTATTTAATTCACAGTGATGTTTGGGGTCCTTCTAAAATCAGTACTCATAGTGGAAGAAGATGGTTTATTACTTTCATTGACGATCATACTCGCCTGTCTTGGGTTTATTTAATGTCAAAAAAATCTGAGGTGAAAGACATTTTCAAAAACTTTTATGAGATGATTGAAACTCAATTTCAAACAAAAATTTGTATTTTACATTCTGATAATGGAACTGAGTATTTTAATGAGTTTTTGGGAAATTTTTTGAAAAAAAAAGGTATGGTTCATCAGTCTACTTGTCAGGATACTCCTCAACAAAATGAGATTGCTGAAAGAAAAAATAGGTATTTACTTGAAGTAGCACGTGCTATAATGTTTTCTATGCATGTTCCAAAATATTTATGGGGGGAAACGATTCTCACAGCGACCTACCTAATAAATAGGATGCCTACTAAAGTTTTAAATTTCAAAACTCCCATTGAGTCATTTAAAAATATTTTTCCAACATCCCGCATATATTCTGATCTACCTCTCAAAGTTTTTGGGTGTACTACTTACGTTCACACACCTAGTCATTTCAGGTCGAAACTTGACCCTTGCGCTATTAAATGTGTTTTCTTAGGCTATGCTTCAGGTCAAAAAGGTTACAAATGTTTTGATTCTCAGACAAAAATTTTTTGTGTATGGATGTGTCTTTCTTAGAAAATCAACCATATTTTACCCAAAATTCTCTTCAGGGGGAGAAAATGAATTTGGAAGATAATTTTTGGGATATTTCTGTTCCCCTTCCTAGTCCTACCT